AAACTGAAACCGTTCACGATGGTGAGCGTTACACTGTACCGATGCTGTGGAGTGATAATTATGTTAGCTTGCCTATCAATTATTATTCTTCATTAGCCCAATTAAAGTCGTTAGAGAAAAGATTAGATAAAGATCCGTTACTTCGCGAGAAAAATACCGAAACAATCAGAGAAGATATAAGTAAAGGATATGTCATAACCGTCAACCCGCACGATCCCAGCTCACGAGCCGAACGTGAGTGGTATCTTCCACACCATCCGGTTTTGAACCCGAACAAACCCGGCAAGGTGCGCCGTGTCCTCAATGGAGCATCCAAATTTCATGGCACTTCCTTAAATAGATCTCTCTTGGGTGGCCTGGATCTCCTTCAAAATCTTATTTTTGTACTGTTGAGGTTCCGTCAACACAAGTAAGCCGTCTCAGCGGACATAGAAGGTATGTTCTTACAAGTTGAAGTACTTGCGCGAGATCAACCGTCTCTCCGTTTTTTGTGGCGGGAGGACCCCACTTCAAGTGTGGTGGTTCACCAATACACCCGTCATATTTTTGGCGCTCGTGATTCGCCAACTTGTGCGAATTTCGCGCTACAAAAAACTGCTTCTGATAATCAAGCTGAATACCCCGAAGCCGCTTCAGCCGTTGTCCAGAAGTTTTACATGGACGACTATCTTGACTCGTTCGAAAATACCGCTGACGCTCTTAGCCTAAGTAAAGACTTAGTCGCAAGGCTCAAATTAGGTGGGTTTAACCTAACAAAGTTTGTTAGCAATGTACCCGAAGTTACAACCGCTCTTAATCCGGACAACCGTGAGTCCAACTTGTCAGTTAAGGATATTTGTAAGAGTCCAGACCAATCGTCGCATGTTCTTGGTCTCAGGTGGGATCATGTAAAAGATACCCTAGTAGTAAGTAGAGGTGTTGATCGACCACTAGATAAAGCAATTACTCAACGCACCGTGTTGAGTTTTGTTTCCTCAGTTTTTGATCCAATAGGACTGGTAGCTCCATATACTGTGAAAGCGCGCCTTTTACTAACAGACATATGGAGAATCAGTGGTCAAAAGTGGGATGATGATCTCCCAGAGGAAATTAAACAACAATTTCTAGATTGGCACTCAGGACTTCCACTATTAGGTACTCTGACGATACCTCGTAGCTACTTTACCGAACCGTTCGACCGCTGTGAACTTCACACGTTCGGTGATAGTTCGCAGGACGTTTTTTGCGCCGTATCGTTTCTCCGAGCCCGATTTGCTAAATCGCAAAAGACCGAGTTAGCTTTTGTATTTGGGAAAGCCCGTGTAGCGCCTATGAAGATGCTCTCCATTCCCAAGTTAGAGCTTCAGGCTGCTCTGCTTGCGACTCGACTCAAAGAAGAGATTTTGAAAGCGCTTACTTTCAAAGTAAGCAATGTATTCATGTGGACTGATTCTATCACCGTTCTCCAGTGGCTTAACTCGTGCAACAAACTTCCTGTGTTTGTTGGAAACCGCACTGGTGAAATCTTGGAGTCCACCACCATTGATCAATAGAATCATGTACTCAGTGGCGATAACCCAGCTGATACCGGCACACGAGGGATTTCTTCGGAAGCCCTCAAGGATAGCAGCTGGGTTAGAGGCCCTAGTATATTGAGGACATGTGATTGGCCATTCAAGCCGAACACTGATGTCATCAAAAAGATCCAATTAAAAGGCCCACTCTGTGACATTGATACATGCCTTGAGACTGCATCTACGTTTGTTGTTGATGCTTCATCTGAGAAAGCGCCGTCGATCCGTCTGTTTAAAAATTGGGATAAATTCAGCTCAATTGTAAAGTACAAACGTGTTTTAGCGTTTATGCTTCGTGTGCTACCATCGCATAAACACTTCCGTACAAAAACGCTTGAAATAACCGACCCGTCCGAGTTAGATATTGCCGAGCAGAAGCTCATTTATCTCGCTCAGTCCGAATCATTTCCTGCCGAAGTGAAAATACTTCAGTCCGATAAACTGATAACAAAGAAAAGTCGGATTGCTAAATATTCTCCGTTCATCGGCCCAGCTGGCATCCTGCGTTCAACTGGACGTATCAGCCGTCTTGTTGATACCGACTTTGATAGCAAACATCCAATAATACTGGATGGTCGACACCGAGTTGCTCATATGTTGATTAGGCATATGCACTTTCAACATGCACATCAGGGGTTGGATTACATGCGTGCTGTCGTTCAGTTGAAATACATTGTTCTGAAGTTGCGCTGGTTACTTGGGAACATCGAAAATACTTGCATAACTTGCCGTAAGCGCAAAGCAAAAACAGTTGTGCCCATTATGTCTGACCTACCGATTGAAAGACTGGGTTACAAGCACCCTACCTTCTCCAACACAGGTGTTGATTACTTTGGCCCGTTTCAAGTGCCAATACGCCGAAGTACCGAAAAGAGATGGGGTTTCCTATTTACCTGCCTCACGACTCGAGCAGTTCACATCGAGTTGGTTCCATCTCTCGATACTAGTTCCTGCGTCATGGGCGTAGAGCGATTTATTGCAAGGCGAGGTACCCCCAAAACCATTCTTTCGGACAATGGCACGAATTTTGTTGGTGCTCAAAAGGAGCTCCTATCCTGTGTCCAAAATTGGAACAAAGTCGCCCCGGCCGTTTTCGTCCACAAAGGCATTAAGTGGAAGTTTAACCCGCCCAGTGCCCCTCATCACGGTGGCGCCTGGGAGCGGCTAGTGAGAAGTGTTAAGCGAGTGTTGTACGACATATTAGGCAACAGGAGGTTAACTGAGGAAGTTCTAGGAACAACGCTCTGCCTAGTTGAACAATTACTTAACGCAAGACCGATCACTCCGGTCAGTTCCGATCCGCACGACCTAGAGGCACTCACCCCGAATCACTTCATTCTCGGTCACAGCGCAGCTAGCTTCCCGTCGTTAAGTTTCGAAGATAACTTTGATTATAAAAAGCGTTACGCCAGAGCACAATCGTACGCTAACGCAGTTTGGTCACGCTGGCTGCGTGAATATGTACCATCTCTCAACAAGAGAGCAAAGTGGCATAATAATTCGGATGTCACACTGAAAACCGGCGACTTGGTTTGGGTAGTCGAACCCGACAGCCCACGTGGGCATTACCCACTCGCCCGTATTGCTAAACTACACTACGGCAAAGACGAATGCGGATACGGAAAAAAATTTAAGCGTTTGCTTTTAGCCCTTTTTAGCTCAAACTTGTATCATTTAGGGTGTTGCAGCGCAAATATAAAACAATAGTACAAATGCATATAAACGTAAATGTGCGAAAGTATAAATGCATATAAATGTAAATGCATATAGGGACAGTAGCCGAGCGTATACATGGTGCGTCCCGGCGGTTTCGGCGCCGGTTCGAATCCCGCCTAGGTCATTTCCTTTCTAGAACTCGAATGTGCACCGAACTTGATGGGATGCTCCGTAACCAGGTTCGGTCCCCCCAAAACCCATTTTAACCGTCTTTTCGCTCTAATTTGGTTCAGCCTTGGTTAAGGCTGACCTTTAAAAAGAGCAATTTGTCTCAAGGACAAATACAGGCCATTTTTGCAGCTTGCTTTGAGTTATGCAGTTTATTGTGGCCGATGTTACCGATAACAACAAAAAAGTTTTGTTATGAAATCTCATTGTTACCGAGTTATTTTGCCGATAAAATGCTCGAATTAAATTGTTTGAAATTCGATATTTTTACAATCCGTGGAGATTGAGCGCACATAGGGTTTTGTCTTACAATTGCCTTACATTTGTCTCAAAATTGGATTAAAGGATTTTTTTCCGCTAGGAAATCTGAAAAAAAAAATTGAACTTCGAATTAAAAGTCATTCAAGTTTTTTGTGATTTTTATTTTTTCGCTGAAAAAGAAATGGACTGAGCTTTAAAAAAAAGCAAAAACCAAAGCGCAAAAACTAAAAATTGAGCAATTTTTCAGAAGGCTTTTTGTGCATGATCAATTTTTAAGACCAGAAACGTATATAAATGAAAATTACTTTGTTCTTTTACACTTAGAAAATGGGCCAAATTGAATTTTTTCTAAGTTTGCTGGGTAATCTATAAATAAATATGTGTTTGTACTGAAAATTCAATTAAGTTTATTTGAACTTTTGTAGTTGGAGAGCATTAGTTGCCTTAAATTAGGAAATGAGCTGACCGCTCGACTAGCATAAAAATTGAAAACTTGAAAATTTATCGACTAGTATGGTTTTGATAGCTTTCCATCTCAGAATTACAGGATCTCTTTAACTATCCCCCTTTGGTACTTAGTAACGAATCGCCACAAACCACCAGTGGTACCTAGTAACGAATCGCCACGACCCCCAAACCACCACAAATGCCCCAGTTTCGGTACTAGTTTACGAACTCTATTTTTTGCCGGCCGCAATTTTTTGAAAAAGCGTGTTTGGCGCTAATATATACTTATTTCGAGAGCTCAAGACTTTTCAAAAATTGCTCAAGAACAGTTTTTTGGCCTTTTGTTTTCACAAACATTTGCGCAGAAAAATTTGTCAAAGTAAGGCATTTATGGGGCTTTAAGAGAGCTTGGAAAAAAAATTTAAGAGAGCTTGGAAAAATAAAAATCGTGAAAGTTTCCGAAAACTTTTTAAAATTGCGCCCTCTACTCAAAAAAATTTCAAATTTGTAACTGCCACGACCTGTAATGACTTGAACCGAACACTGATAGCCGCGCAAAGTGTGAAATGTGTAGAAAAACAGTGATTTTCATGTTTTTTGTGAGTGATGTTTTTATTATTGATAATAATGAATGTTGTGTATCACTATTTATGCTAGTCGATACGGTTTATTCTAGTCAAGTTCTATGCTAGTCGATACACTGCCGCAAATGATTTTAAATTGAATTTAAAAACCAAAAGGCAATGATAATTTTTGAGGCTGAAAACATATGAAGCATTTTTTTTCAAAAAAACTCACGACCTAAATAAGTGTCTCCCTTTCTTTCATTGAAGTTTAAATACTTTATATTCCAACCTGCGAAAGCTAGCGCTGTCGTCGCTGAGGTCAAAAATGTCGAAGTAGCCGCGCTGTACATTGTATTTCCTATCCTCTCACCAATATCGACTGTACGATCCATGCCTTTGAAAATATTCACATATACCAGAATATCATCGACACCTATAGATACCAAAATAATTCCACTAGCCGCGTTTAACATGCCAATTTTCTTGATACCAAAAACGATATAATACAAGAAAAGGTTGTCAATCATGGCTCCAATAAGGACCACTAGTGTCCATAAAGTGAGCCATGGCGAGCATCCAGTGAAACAAAACACAAGAGCGGCAATTATAGCCAAAGCTGCGATCGTTTTCATCATGTCGCTTTTGATTATTTTCATTAGCAGGTGTTCTGTAAGCGCTTCTGAATAGTAGTAGATTTTGATGTCGTGTTTCTTTTCGTATCGGTTCATAATTTTGTCAAGAGTCAGAATGTAGTCGTATTGGATTTCGTTTTGCGCTTCTCTTTGCTCGTTGAAGCTAAAACCCTGCAAGGGCTGGCCAAGAAAGATCTAAACAAACATTAATTTACAAATTCTAGAACAAAGCCCCAGGAAATTTATAAAAAAAGATAACGAACTCAATGAATCCCAAAAAATTGACCAATTTTTTCCATCTAATAAATCATAAGTTTTTTTTACTGTTTGGCTCGTTTTTGAGGAATTAAAACTCAAATTGGGGAATAATATCCAGACTAGGGTGAAGCACTAGTTTTCGTGATTGCCCATAAGGATGAAACCAGGATTTGTTATGGAAAAGTTCACAAGAACTTTCAAAGAAGAGATTTAAAAAAAATTCTTGAGAGTTGAAAGTTGTAAAACACAGAGGCAAAGCGGAGTTTTGCACCATTTGCGATACAAATATAAAAAACGATAGAAGTAGAAAAAAAAGAAAAATGTTGAAACATAGATCTACCAAAAATAAAGTTTTCTCAGTGGAATTTCATTTGAAGCACAGATGCCAGACATTTGAATATGAATTAGAAACAGAAGGAAACTTACGAAAAGGAAAATAAGCCGACAATCTTTGAGCAGACACAAAATAGCGGAATTGCGTTCACAAAAAAAATTAATAAGAAATTTTTTTTTAATTTTATGTCCCCTGCCTGAAACTCTATTGAACAACACATGCTTTTGCAACTTCAATGAAACATTGTTACAGAAAAAAATCAATCCGTGATAAAGCAGCTAAGCCGGCAATCTTTGAGCAGACACAAATTGAGCCGCAAAAACTTATTTTTTTAAATTTTAAAAACAAACAATTTTCAAATCCCCTGAAACTACATTGAACAAAACTTGCAGTTCCAACTACAAAGAAAGTTGCTTACGGCACAAGCAAAATCCGAGGTGGGGCAATTCAGCCAAAAAAACTTAAGCAGACAAACGGAAGTCCGACAATTCAATATTTACCGGAAAATTTCAATTGAATACACACAAAAAAAAAGGACCGACCAAACTCAAAAAACGGGTTCAAAGGCGACGATGTTACCGCTAAGTCAAAGGAAAACGGAGTTGAAAGCTTCTAAGTTTTAATCACAAAGCAAGCAAGAAAAGCAAGTAGGATTTTAAGAAAGGTTGTTAACAGAAAAAAATTTAGTTCCCGATTGCAAAGCTTTAGGTTAGTTCTTAAATTAGATCAAATTGGGTTATTTTTATCAAAATATTACTATCATAAATAGACCTCAAATTGAATTAGATTTTTCAAAAACTATGAATCACAAGTAATTTTTGAATTTCAAAGACTTTAAAGAGCTGTATGTACAATTAATTAAGTAATTCCACAAAAAAAACGTATATAAGTGTCTTCACTGCGTTCATTGACACTTGAAATCTCGACTTCAAAAAGTACCTTACGTCTTAACATTCGGCTTTCAAATTTGTCTGTGTTTATGTTGCATATCCAAAAGTGTTATCAGATAGGTTAGCAACGTTTGCTGTACTAAAATGGCGCAACGAAAACTAACAATTTTTGGCAGAAAACACTTTTCTACGAGAAATTTTCAATCTCAAATACAACAGAAAATCAAATTCTCAATTTTTTTTTGTGCTGATGGTTGATGCTCACCAATCAATCCAAGAAATTGTCAGTGTCAATTTAAAAATCAAGAATAAACAAAGAGCGATACGTAGAAATACTTTCGTTGTGATAAAATGAAACTGGGCAAAAAAATCAAAAATCTTGTTTGCTATGATTCTAGCTAACACTCAATTTTAGTTTTCATAATTAAAAATGATTATAAGTTTTTATGTATAAGTTTTATAACTATAAGTTTATATCAAGAAAAGATTGTAAAAAAAACCGTCTGAAGAATGCCAAAAATTCCTTTATTTTAAATTTTTTTTTAAATATGAGCTCTAATAAATACAATAAGGGGGAGCAATAGTAAAACCTCATTGAACTCAGGAAACAAAAAAATTATTACATTCTATTTTACAGATTAATAAAATTCCAGAATTTTTCAAGACTAGCATTTTTACTTTTGGTGAGCGTAATTTGTATCATTTTAGAAACAAAAAAATTTTGATTTGAAATTGAAAGAAAACAAAAATCAAACCAAAAAAAAAACAAATTTGAGCCTTAACAAACTTTTACAGGTTTTCCTGAGAAAAAATGCGAAAAAACGCTACCTATAAAAATGATTTCAGTACGTTGATTGAAACACCAAAACAAACTAGAAAAATATTTCTAGAGACAGTTTGAAAAGAGCAAATGAACGCAAACAGAACAAAAATACGAAATTACTTTCTGAAAAATCCCAAATTTCGAATTTCGAAAAAAAATTGAGGGCCTTAAAGCTCTTCAAAAATGGGGAACAATTTATGATTGACGAATTTAACCCAATTACAGAAAAATAGATCAAAAAGTGAAATTTTCAAATTGCTGGAAAAGTTGCTAATTAAATTCCACTTTCGAAACTGGAAGTTAATTACGTTTTCGTGACTTAACCTTTTTGTTGTTCGATAGTGGAGCCTTCTTTTTAAGAAATGAAAAAAGAAGCTTATAAAAAAATCAAAAATCAAACAGCTCAATAAAAGTAAATTGTGGCCTAAACAATTTTTCAAATCCCGAAAAAATTGAAAAGAAAATCATCGCGACTTAGTTTGAACTACATTCATCGATTCTTAAAAACAAAAAACCACACGACTACATTAAGTGATTAAAGAACAACCAATAACTATTAAACATAGCCAACTGACATTTGGAAAAGACTAATCAACCCAAAAAAAAATGAAAAAAAACCACTTCAAAAAAAATCTTCAATTTGTGAAAACTGGATCATTAAGTAAGACTTTTATTTTGCTTGGAAATCTGATAATTAATTTTCCCTTTTTGAAATTTGAAGTCTATCACGTTCTTTGCTACCTTAACACTTTTGCTTTTCGATAGTGGAGTTTGCCTTCCTTATAACAATGAATGCACTGAACTGAAAAAAAGTCAAACCGCGAAAAATCAAAATTGAGCGATAACCAATTTTAAGACTTTTTCCTGTATAAAAGACATTATGAAATCGGCAAGACTTAAAAAACATTACTCAATACTTTGATTACTTTCAATAATTATGAAATTCTATGTAGTTCTCAGATAACGAAATTTAAAAACCTAACAGCAATGCGTATTGAAAGATTAAAAAAAAGAATAACAGCAAAAGTTTAGGCGTGACAAAAAATTGAAGCTTGTTAAGTTTGAAAAATATTTTCCCGGTTCAGTCACCCAGAAATTATTATCGCTGATTAATAAAAAAATCTAGTTTTATCAACGTTTTGATCAATGATTCAGTTGTATTACATAAATTAAAACGGTTTATTACTTCTCAAGGACAAATAATCTTTTTTCAGCAAGGAGTTAGCGGTGTTTTAACAATGTTTTATCTCTGGGGTGTTAGTTTGTATCATCAATGAAGAAACCATAGCATGTCAATAATTTAATGCTGGAAGTTTCATGAACATAGCCAACAAACTGTTGAAAAAGAGTCAGTAAACGCAAAACAAATAGAAAAAAAACTCGTTTTTCTGAAAAAAGCAACTTTTGACTTTCAAAGTAAAAAAAAATGCCCTAAATTTTTTTGAATTTCAAAACAGTTTTTGATATACACTTTTGATATCATTGACCTCATTTGAGAAAACTGAATCAAAAAGAATTTATTGTTTTTGTTTCTCAAAAAATTGTCTAAAATTTTAATATTACTACTTTTGAAGAAAATGCGAAATTTTTAAGCTTTGTTGATCTATTTTTCATTCAGTCAGTATTCGATTTTCAACTAAGCAATTTTGACGAACGTTTTTTATGCCATCAGAAAGAGATTGTTTTCTGGCCGCAAATTATAAAAGATATTTTAGCTGTGATCATTTTTTTGTAAAAATACGGAGCTTGGAAAATTGCTAATTTGGTCAATCTGGGATAACTAGCACAAGATAAATTGCGTTTTTAAAGCACGCGTTTGCGGCAAATCAATGAGTTCCAAAATAAAATGAAAAAACTTGCACTTTGTATTTTTACCCGTGTGGTGGATAAATTGAAGAAAAAAAAGTTGAAATAAAACGTTTTCTTTTTTTTTGATTATTTCATCAATCATTTAACAAAAAAAAACGTTTTGTTTGGCCTTAAAGCGCAGTGGAACATTCAGAGCTTCGCCCTGACCGAGCAATTTTGTTGCTAGTTATATGTATTTCAATTGAAATGTTAATGCTTAATGTTAACTCAAGTGTACAATCAATTAACGTTTTATCTCTGAGTTAAAAAAAGAATGGCTTATAACATACTCGTTCTAGAGCTTTTTGTGCCCCGGTACCTAAACTCGTAAATTAAAAAACACATCCTTACCTAATTTTCCTTGAAAATTTTTTTTGATCCTTGGGAGAAAGAGCAAAGAGAAAAAGTTTTCAGCGCTAAATCAGGGATAAATCATTCAAGTTAATGAAAAGAATGACTTTGATCACGTGTGACTTAAACATAGATGACAGACTCTGTTTTTTTTTCTAAATCAGCGATGGTTGCCTCGGGGAGGTCAACCCGATTTATTTGAACTCACTGTGGATTTAATGTAGGTTGTTTTTGCCTCCCTCGAGTCAAAATCATTGTCGAAAAAGGAGAAGAAGTTGTCCTGTGTCTTCATAATGTCGTATGAGTCATTGAAGTTGGTGATTCGGGATCCCATTCCGTCGAAAATGAAGCCTTGGTGGAAGACTCGAGTGTTGTTTTTATCATCCACGGCTATGTACGCATAAGGGAAGAAGAATCCGTTCACGCTCATCGGTGGAAAACACCTGAAGACATTATTTAATCAGAACTGGATGTTAACTTGGTTCTGAGCTCGAGTTTTCAACCAATCAGAACAGAGTATTTTACGCGCGAGATTAGTTTAATAAATTTTATCTGAACGATGAGGATCTTAACTTGATGCTGCGAAATTGATGCTGCGAAAAGATTAATTGGGATACCAAGCACCAAAGTACCAAATGGCATGATACCCTTTGAACGGGGAGGAGGTCGATTTCCTGGAACGATTTCTGGTCAATTTGATATCCAACCTGTTGATTTCTGTCGCGTATTTAGAGTAGACGTGGTAGACGTAGATAAGACAGTTGTCCCGAAAACCCTCCTCTTGGTAGACCAACTCATTCTCAAATTCGTGAATGATTTTCAACTTGTCCTCGGTTAGCATGTTTTCCTTTCTTCCCTAAAATATTTCACACTCATCAGAAAAAAAAATAGTCAGAGACGTTTAAAAATGAACCATATGTTTTATAAAGTTCTTTTAGACTTGAGAATTGGTTGTAAACTACACAAAAATTGTAAGCCTGAAGACAAAACTTTACTGTTATTACGATTTTTCTTAATTTGAATAAATTTAAAAAAGGGGTAGTGAGATTTCATCCAAATTCGATTTTTTCTCCTCTCCTTTCCTTTGAAACAAATTAATGCAACTTCAATGATGTCCTTAGAAAAGCAGTAGAACTGGGCTTTGAAATGCAAGTAAAATCATTTATCGCGAAATTGAGAAAAGAAATAAATTGAAATGTGTTACATATCTATGTCAGTATCTTACTAACAAAAGGTAAGCTTTTACAAATGCATTGAGGCAATAGACAACGAATTAAAGAATAAATCAACGAACAAAGGAAATAATTTTTGATAACCACAGTTCCAACTACAAAGAAAGTCGCTTACAGCACAAGCAAAATCCTAGGCAACTAAGCCGAAAAAACTTAAGCAGACAAACGGAAGTCCGATAATTCAATATTTACCAGAAAATTTCAATTGAATACACACAGAAAAAAAAGGACCACCGGGACTCAAAAAAACGGGTTCAAAGGCGACGATATTACCTGCTTCTCTACAAAAAATTTTTTTTATCTGACGTCAAAAAAATTGAATTCGTTGCCCAATAAATTACGAAATTTAAGTATTACCACATTAACGTTCAAGAAAAAATTAAAAGAGTTCTAACCATGAAATGAAATCTAATCCTACGTGTGAATAACGTTTTCATCAGTCGATTTGCCTTTATATGTTCAGTTTTGACAATGATTTAATACTTTTACGTTGTTTACAATTTTTATGGGTGCCCAATTATTTTTATTTTTTCTTCAAATTTTCATTCTCAAATTGGTGAACTTTTTGATGTAATTTTTTCATCTCATTTTATCCAAACATGAGTAACTAATCTGACTTCGTAACTAATATTAACTTTACACTGTTACTATACTAATGCATTGACTATTCTGTAGAGTAATTAAAGTGTTTTTTCTTCTTCTTCTTCGTCTCTTTCTTCTTCAGTAAGTGCGTTTTTTCTACTATCTTGTTAACTAACCGTTTTGGCAAAAGAGGACATTTGACGCACTGTAAAGAAAATAGTATATGCTTATCCGTTATGTTAGTTTTTAGAGGGATTTTTTTTTCAATATTCCATAGGGTGAAAATTGTTCGTACAATTTTTTTCAGGCAAAAAGGCTCCCGTTTTTTAGTATTAGTAATTCAAGTATGCGACCAAACGTCTTCAAGGTAACCGCAGTTTTGTGATGCACTGTTTACATAATTCACCCTAATGAAATCTGTACACTGTCAGCTTTTACACGGAATCTGTTCAATCAGCAAAATATCAATGTGCTCAATTGTTTAGTTTTATGAAAAATGTCGTGAGATTAAGTCAAGAATCAAGAGATTCTAAATCTGTATGTAAGTATGTATGGATAATATTTACCCTACGATGTTTTTCTTATTTTCATTTACGGATTTCGCTTCAAAACTATGTGCCTCACTCATTTTCAGAGTTTTAGCGCTCGTATTGCATCTTTAAAGATAACATTTGATGGCCTGCTGATCACCGTTAAAAATACTTGATGAAATCGTCTTTATCGGGACAACCATCAATCTCCAACACAGTTTGCCAGAGTGTTAATACAGAACAAAACCAGGTTGATTTGCTCTATGACGTATCTAAATTAATTTTGACGATAAAAGACTTATTTTAAAAATAAACATAGCCAAAAAGATTATAGAAAAAAGCAAGAAACCCAGGGAAACCGAAAAAAATTGATTTTTTTTTTACTTTCAAATAAGATGGTATTAAAACACTTTGAATTTTGATTGAAACTGCATTAAACGTAATGTTTTTTCCATGGGAAATTTAAAAAAAGTAAGATCCTCTTTCAAAACTAGAAATAAAAAATTAAACAGAAAAACATCAAAATTAGCGTAACAGATTTGACCAAAAAATTTTTTTGCTGAGCCAGAAAAAAAAATAAAAATAACTTGAACTATATAAGTGTTTTCACTACATTTTTTAAACTTAAAAAAATGAAATATTTTGATTGTTTTTGAAAATCTCACCGAGCAATGTCGGTTATAAAAAAAAAGAAATTTTTGCGTCTAAAAACGTCATATGTGTATCAATTGGTTCGCCTACATTTGGAGGAATTCAATTTTTAATGAATAAACTTTTAGTTAGCCTCAGCTCAGTTTAGTATTTTTTGTGGGCCAAAATTATTCTCTAACTTCGCTACGAAAAAATTGCTGTGCAATTCTTGTGCAACTTTTTTCATGCCAAAGTTGCCCCATAATTTCAACAGTTTCAACTCTAATTTCAACTTGAGTAATCAAAATCACTCAATTTTTGAAAAAAATCTGTCACATATTGTTAGTTAAAAAGTCAACTTTAAGATCAGAGCAAAAATTTGAGTTGATACTAAGCTGGTAGTGTATGTCAAAAACCATCACCAAACTTTGAACTTGGTTGCAGAAAAAAAGATGGAATTTGATTTTTTTTAAAAGTTTTGGTGAGTCCGATAGCGTTCGTTTTTTATAATTCTCAGAGCCTGATTAATAAATGCCAATCTATGCATTTAGATCGATTCAGCGCTGAATGTTTTTGCCAGCTCAACCCGGTCTCACAATCAAAGTTGTTTTAAAGGGTAAAACAATTTTTCGTTGAAAAACCAGATTGAACTTGATATCAAGGAATCAATCTCTGATCAGTACACATTCAGCGTTGCAAAAACCTACCAAAATTAGCAAATTTGGACTTTTGGGCTCCCAACAGGAATCGAACCCACAATCAACATCCTCTCCTGTAAACACTTTTGGTTATGAGGGATGATTTTAACTGATCATACTTTGGCTAGTTTCATTTCGGTGCGTACGTTCTGTGTGATATTCAGTCATATAATTTGCTTTCGAATCCCTTTAATGATGATCAAATATTTTGATCGAACGGGATGATCACCTTTGTGGTGTAATAAATGTAGAAGTTTGTAGATATGAATCTCTGTCTGTAGATCGACCTTGACCTTCTCGTTCGCATTTGAGGCTCATCGCTTTCTTCCGAAAAACCAGAAGAGCCATCATCCCGTTTTCTTCTGTACTGCATCTCTCCTTCTCTGGACTGCTGCGCCTGACCTGGTAAAATTTTAGATGTGACTATATTATAAACAAGAAAACTCGTTAGTCCAGGTCTTATAAAGATTTATTCATTTTTTAATGACAAGTTTTCAAAACAATAACGCCCTAATTTGATTCGAAATTTATTTTTGAGGTATAATCGTTTTTAAAAGTAAGCAAGACCATATTTTTTGAAACGCTTTCAATCTTTATTTAATTAGATAAACAAAACCTTAAAATAATCATTTTTGACAATTGTTGAATCCGTCATAGTTTTGACAATGATATAAATTATTTGGGATGGAAAACTGGGTAAACCGAAGGAAAAGGTTTAATGATTTTCCGGTTGCTCGCAGTTAAGTAAAACTATTAAAACTCAAGCTCGAAATTCATTTGCAACAAAAAAAAACATAACAAACTGACAGTTGAAAAAATGTCAATGAACGCAAAGAAACAGAAAAAAAAATGACATGACATGTTTGTGAAGAAAAAAGTCAATTTTAGAGTTTTAAACTGAAAAATAAATGATCTTGAAGCTTTGTGATTTTCAAGAACAGTCTATCCTCGACAGTTTTTTCATTAAATTTACTCAATTTGATAAAACTGGATCAATCGGTTAAAAATTTTTTCCTCTGAGAGATCTGAAAATTAAAATCCACTTTCGAAATTAGAAGCTAGTCCCATTTTTGTGATCTTCACGCTTTTGCTGTTCAATATTGGAGTTTACCTTCCTTTTATTAACAGAAACAATGAAACAAGATTGCTCGTATCTGCTTTAGGTTCTATAGCGTAGTATTCGTTTTAAACAAAATTAATAACTTTTTTTTAGAGTTTTGATGAATTTTTTTAATCGAGATTTTTAAAAATAACAATCCCCCAACACGCTATGTAAGTTATAACGTGAGAGATTTTGCATCTAGCAAACTATTAAATAGATCAAATGTCATGCCTCAATTCAATTTGGAACGATTTTTCAGACAGATAAAAACTCCCCTTACGAGTTATTAGCACCAATTATATTGCGTGTTAGGTATTCGTAATTGGCAACCCACTAGTTTTACGAAAGAAAGCTTTGAAAAGTTACAAAAGACGTCTTTACAAAAAAAATTACCTAAAATTACAAAGAAATATCTTTTTTAAATATCGCTGAAATATCTTCTAAGTTTTGATCTCAGGAAAACAATACCTTTCGAATGTTATAAAATTAACTTGTCAAAAATAGCTGGTTAAATAGTTGAATTTTTCTGAAGAAAAAAAGCCTTAAAGATAGCCGGTCACTGCGCAAATAGCACAGAATGTTTTGACTATAGTCTCAAAAAATGCAATATTTTTTGTCAAGTAAGTGGTTTTTTTCTTTGTGTTGTGATGGTAAGATCTGAACAAAAAAGCAGAATTAGGTATATTTGACAGTCATAGTCAACTAAGCCAAGTGGAAAACAGTTTCTGTAGAAGATGACTATAAAAAAAATGTTCTATTTTTTGCATATATTTTTTGAAATTTTGAAGTTTTTGATTTGCGCTAAAACTTTTCAAAAGCTATTTTCATTCGATAAACACTATTTTTTACGGCCTAAACTGAACTTAAATACGCTATTGTAAACCTGGAAACCTTATTTTGACAAATCTTATTAGCTCGAAACGAGACCAAAAGTAGAAAAAATTTCAAACCGGTATTTCTCGACACTGAGAAACAGTTTTCATAATTTTTCGATGAATCACGATTGAAAAGTTTTTTTTATGATATATATATATATATATATATATAACTCGACCCATTCCGATGATTATTCGAGGTAACTGATTTTGTCTGGAAAACTGTTGCAGCGCAAATGTAAATGTGCGAGAGTATAAATGCATAAAAATGAACCAAAATGTAACAACCATAAGCACAGTTGGCCAAGCGGACTAAGACAAAGTAACGTAACATAACAGTTGACGTAGGTTCGAGTCCCCCACCTGCCCATGTATTAATATACTAAAAAAGGGGGTTATATCCTATTTTAACTGGTTTTTGAATCTAATTCGGTTCAGCCTTGATTGAGGCTGACCGCTAAAAAAGAGCAATTTGTCTCAAGGACATTACCGACCGGTTCTTGTGGTTAGCTTGCGCCAATTTGTTTTTGAAGCTGTATTGGTGAAGTTATAAACTTGTTTAACTGCAAAATTTGGATGAAATTTAGCTAGCATGACTGATGAATTTTGTATTGCCGAGAATACAAATTTCTTATTGATATTTCGTTTTTAAATCATACTACGGAGATTGAGCCCGCACATTTTGGCGCCCCACAAGGGATCCCGAAGTCTTTCTTTCACGAAGTCAAAACACAAGGGACATATCGGGAAGCGATAAGAATATGCAAACAGCTGCACCGATAGAGCGATAAACCAGGCTCAGCGTCGCACAACCACTCTGAGAGGAGTAGCAGCCATGGCCAACTTTCGGTCACTTCTTTCCCGTCTGCCAGATCAGTCATCCGTCACCTACACTCCGCCATCACCTACTAATTTAAACCGAGCCGACTCAGATTTATTGGATTGCTCAGTTAGCTTAATGGATACCCTGGATACCTTGACGTAAACGGCTCAGTCAATCAGTACGCAAATAACGCAACTCCCGATCTTCAACTCACTTCTTCTGGGTTTCATTTGGCGAAACGGAGGCCTAGTAACAGGTGTCGTGTTTTGTCCCGCTCGTGACTGGACTGTGACAATCCTCAACCGGTGCCACCAATCTCCTAATTCTATATGAACAATGACCTGATGCCACTACCCTGCTGATGGAACGTTTGCGTACCACGAGCAGTAGATGGTATCTAAGATAACAAACTCTTCCTTCGAACCAGCTATCAAGATCTTCAGACAGGGGTCAACTACAGACTTTTTGTGTGAGTGAGAGAAGTTATTGCTGGACAATTCCTCTGCGGCCGACCAAAAATCTGATAACCCGAAACCGGTGGCCGCCCAAACTCCAAAACTGTAAGAAGGTTCCAAAACTTTTTAGAAAGTCTTTCCATTCGTGCTATAAACTTATTTACGATGTCATATATGTTCAAAATTTTTCCGCAAGCTAGCAACCGGTAATTTTTCTCCAGACAAAATTTTGGAAAGTTCCGTTGAACTGAAATAACTTACAATCGGTACTTAGTCAATTTACTTGGCATTATTTCTCGATACCAAAATTTTTTAGATATTTGTGAATGGAATATTAATCCGTGAAATCGGAACATAGATATGAGGTACTAGACTAGTTTTTTTGGATTGGTTTACGACTCGAAGCTGCTGACCAAAATTTTTCGAAAAAATTTTGGGAAAAAAGTAAAAACTTGCCAGAAAATCCTCAAAACGTCCCCAGAGTTCTGCGAAACTGTGCTGTAACATGACACATGACACCAACCTTCTGGTAAGTGGTCTGGTAGCGAAATATCAGGCAAATTAATTTGAGTTTTTTCATCCTCAGGTTTTTCCGCGTGTGTTGTTGGAACTTAACCAATTTGCCTGATCCCCCACCCACCATTAGTGAAACTAAAAGCCAGTTCGCTTCAAGTAAATCTAAGCCGTTTCAGCCCGTCCGATTATTGACTTCGTTGCGCGACACTAATGTTAAGTTGTCAGGTACGGCGATATTAAGTGAGCTAAGTTGAATTCTTCCATCCTCGGGTTTTTTCCGTGTGCGTTGTTGGAGTTCAACCGACCTACTTAATTTCCCCACCCCATTGGTACTTAAGCGTAACGTAGCCGTCGCATAGGTCTCTTAAGTGTATGGTATTCATTCTAGGAGCTAGTTCCTTGGATCACGCGCTCCGTATACTATCCGCACCGTCTCAAAAGCGTGTGAAAGAGACTTAATTCACAAAGCCCGTATTAAGCTTTAACTTTAACGCCAGGGACTCGCAGAAAACTATCCAATATTATCTGCACCACTTTTTATCGAATCGGAAAGATCTAGTTATTTGGCACGACGCCGTAAATAACTCCATTAGTAAGCACCGCAGTACCAACAACCGTAGTTTGAGTACCGACAAACTTAAGAGCCTTCTTTTGAGATACAAGGAGAATATTACCGCTATTGTATACTGTCGCCGCAACGGTACGGACAATATAGAAAAAGAGTTGAAAAAGACAGGTATTCTCGTTCTTAACATAGCTGAGGATTTTATCTCAAAGCGAAAGGCCAAAGACCAAATACTTATCGAAAAGTATAAAGAGCTGCATCAGCCTCCTTCCCTTGAGTTGAAGACTCTGTTGTTACTTAGACGATACGGTGCTGACCTAAGTACACTAAAAGCTAAGAAGAAGCGGAACCGTTTGTCGCCTAAAAATTGTAGAGCGATTCACAACAGACTTAAAGCGTTAAAACTTCAAGTTACTCGCCCTTGTAAGTTATTGATGTATTAGAGTATTTTGTGGATTTACTTGAGTGAAAATAAAGTATTTTCTGAGAGTCGTTTTTTTTCTGAAATTATTATGCATGGAAGTTAAGTTTCAGAAGAAAATTAAGAAGTTGTTTGAGAAATGTAGAAATCCCAAAAACGAACTTTATAAATGCCACGAAATAATTTTAGAATACATAGAGAATCAGAGTCGTTGCTCAAAAATTGATACTTATATTGAAAAATGTAGGAACTATATAGAACAAGCGGTTGAGCTAAATAGTGAGTTGATTGATATGGCTGCAAAAAGTGCCAATCCCGACGAATTGATACCGGCACAGGATATGTGGCTTCATAAGTTGACTCAAAGCAACGATAAAGTTCTGCAGGAAGCTATCACATATAAAACAAGTTTTGAGGCAGTAACAGAGCCGGAAAAAATAGATAGCAGCTCAAAAGTTTCTCATCATTCTGAAAAAAGTGAAAAACCCCAGTCGCATAAAACAGATACCCGCTCTAAGTTGTCTCATCGAAGCAGTCGACATCAGCAATTGGGTTCTCAGAAATCTAATTATACCGCCGCTCCGTCGAAAACACTTTCTGAGAAAAAGCGCAACTTAATGATTTTAAAGAAACAACAAGAGGTAC